CTTATCTCCTACAAACTGGAAGATATGCAAGTGAAAAGCAACAAGTTGGCAGAAGAAGCATCCAGAAAAGATAAGACTTCAGGTGAATATAGAGAAAACAGAGGTGATGATAAAGATTCCTGGCCAACAGCAACAGCAACAACAACAGACAACAATCAACATAAATGGGAGAAATCTGAAAGAAGATCAACCTACCTGGGAAGCCTCGTTTCAACTACAGGCGGAACTGATGAGGATATCAAAGCGAGGATCGGGAAAGCAAGGCAAGCTTTCATTTCTCTCAAGTCTGTGTGGAGGTCAACAGCACACTCAGCATGAAAAATAAGATCCGGATTTTCAACTCCAATGTGAAGTCAGTGCTACTATACGGATCAGAGACTTGGCGCGTCATGAAGAGCACCTCAAACAAACTACAGACCTTCATCAACAGCTGTCTTCGCTCAATACTTCACTCAAGGTCAGATGGCCGACCTGAAAAGATCAGCAATTGAGGGATCTTTGGTAGCGAACCAACCAGGAACCAATTGTGCAACAAATATCCAGGAAGAAATGGAGGTGGATTGGCCATACTCTGAGAAAACCACCAAGTGACATCACAAGATTAGAAAAAACAAAGATTGAGTGAAGAAATATATTCCTTTTCAATTAGTTCCTCATCATCGGCTGGCTCTACACTAATATATAGTTTTTTACATCAAAATTTTTTACCAATCAAGTGGTTATTTTAGTTAATCAGTTTTAGGTATAGGCGGGGTGAAATCAAGAGGTTAAAGGTCATCAAAACATAACTAATAGATGTTATAACAGATATCTAAGTTTTAAAAGAGGGGTGAAAATTAATTACGGAATTCAAGATAAGTTGATTCTTAGGGTGAACAAGTTATTACATAATCAAGAAATTTGTAAAATAGCAATGATGACTAAGAAGAATAGGATGACTCAGAAGAGTTACGTAAAATACAAACAAGTTAATAAAATTAGCTAGAATTGTAAAAATTAACAAAGTCAAAAGATAGTTACAAGGGGAGGGGAAAAATCGTTTTTAAAAACTTAATACATATTATGTAGTTGGCCATGGCAAAGAAAGGGGCTGTACAAATTTCTTTTGAACACATAGATTTGGCTTGTTCAGATGAATTCCGATTGTCTCTGCTGTATGTAAAAGTCGTACTCGTAGACCATGTGAGAGGTTGGGTGATATACGATAAATAACTTTAAAAGCTTTGTTAGAGTCGATTTGATGTCCAGTATCGACGAGATGAGCTAGTATTGAGCTGCGTATAGCTTTATTCGGACCTTTGCCAAACCAGATGGGAGGTGTTCAGAAATTCGACTATGAACTTGCCTGATCGTACGCCCTATGTAACTAGCAGTTAAACTGGTAAATACACATGAAGAGGCAAACAGCAGTTGTCTTTATTTCTTGAACTAAGTATTGGTCGGCTAGTGATACACAGCATAGCTTAGCTCATAGAAAGTCTTTTGAAGGCCCTTTCAAGCTGTGATAAGATTCACTATTGAATCACCGTGAATTGTAACCTTAGGAAGATTGACTTTTTGGGGACAGTCGGCAACTTCGACTTTTTACTTTCTGAGTTCATGTGTTTGTTTACGAATTTAGTTGGATATCCGTTTCTACTTAGTAGATTGCGAATATTACCGAGTTCTTCGTTCAGTGTCTCATTTGAACAGATAACTCTAGCCCGGTGAACCAGACATCTAACCAGATTACGTTTGTATTGTAGAGGTACGAAGCTCAGGAAGTGAGTATATTGTCCAGTGGAAGTAGGTTTTCTATACAAACGTCTACATATTGTTCCGTCTGTTCGTTTTGTCATTAGAACGTCTAAAAAGGGGATAGATTTATTTTCTTCTTCTTCCTTAGTGAAGCTTATGCTGGGATGTGCTCTGCTGAATTCATCCAATATTTCTTAGCATCACTTTCTTTCTTAACAACTATAAATGTATCACCAACATATCGGCAATAGAAATCAAGATTATATATTACATCTTCAAGTGGACCATTCTTAGTTTCGCCAGAAAAAATCTGCTAGATTGGACTGTGGTATCCATGGAACAACATCTATTGTCTTTACATTTCTTTATTGAAAGGAAATTCACTTCATTGTAACCTCAAAAAGTTCCTTTAGGGAAAACAGGAATTCCAATCTGTGCTTGCTTTATCAATTCAAATTGTTTACCGAAGGAAAAACGGGAGTACTAAACATTTTACAAGTACAGTGGATATGTAGCCCATTGCCTTAAGCACTCGATTTTCAACTAACCGGTCATAGGTTCGAGCCTCGCTCCATCTACTTCAGCCTGGGTAACTGGGTACTATTATCAGCACTCAGCATAAACAAAAAGATTCGGATTTTCGATACAAATGTTAAGTCAGTCAGTGCTATTTTATGGGCAAGAAACTTGCACTCCACGTCGAGAAAAGCATTTCCAACACTCTACTGCAGACTTTTATCAACAGATGCCAACTTCGCTGGCTGGTTCACATTGAAGATCAAATGGCAGACCAGAAAATAGCAGAAGAAACTCTCCGAACGATAGTCAAGAACCTATTCTCAACAAATATGCAGAAGGAAGAAGGCATATGCTGAGGAGACCGTCGAATGACATCGCCACCAGGCCATTGGTCGAGTGGAACCCGAATGGGAAATGACGATTTGGGCATTGGTCTGGGGGAGGGGACATAGAGGAGATAATGAAGGGAGAAAGAGAGATTATGGGCAACTGTGGGACCAGCGAAAAAGGACCGCAGGAAAAAGAACAAAGTGGAGATGTGTTGGTGAAGCCCTCCTATGTTCCACTCGGAAGCCAAGGGAACAATAATTTACTAATACACAGTAGGTGTGTGTGGCTCAGATCCTGGTACATGAAGAATCTGTTTCAGGTAATCAAGTTTGAACAAACAAAGTAAAGTACAACATGGATCGTAATAGTTAATGGCCTACGGATGTACGGATATTGTATACATAACCGAAATCAATAAGTGCATGGTAAGCAAATCCAGGGAAATGAGTGAAAAAAGTAGACGTTTATGTAATAAAAAGGAAACGAAAGTGAAACAATTGATAACTATTCAAATTGTTTTTTCAGTGGAACAGAGACGAAAATAAGTTTGCATAATTTCTAGACGAAGTTGCCTCAATAACACTTAGAAAAAAAAGTAATAAAAGTAACAGTAGAAAAGTTGAGAGTGATTTTCTTCCACTTATTCGTGGGTTTTGTTCCTGCTTCCGTCCAATGAATCACAAACAACAGACTTTATGATTTTCTCGTAAAGGAATAATAAATAAGTCACCTCCAATCCAGACACTAGAAATAAACAACTCATTTTTGATTGATTCACTCTGGTAAATATTTTTTCAAGTAGAGAATGAAGTAAATCAATCCACTGAAAACGTCTAGGAAAAAATAAAACTACCTCTTAGTGTATAACTAACTTATCATAAAATATAACTTCCATGTTTGACGAAGTGTTTAACTTAACAAATAACAGTTTGTTGATGAGATGCGTACTTCCCAGAACATTTGAATAAAGGAACGTTACACTAGTGTTCGATATTGAAATAGGATATTGAATACAAATACATTGAGGGGACTAAAATTGAAACTAAGTCTACTGCAAAATACCTCGGTCTAGTTCTATCTTCCGACCTTACTTGGACATCTCATATCCTAACGATTTCTAAGAAAGTGTTCTGTCTAACCTACTACATTAAGAAACTAAGACAATCTGGAATCACCCAACCTCTACTTTCACAATTTGTCAACTCTTGTATCTTACCTATTCTACTTTACTGCTCCCCGTTAGTCTTTCCTGGGCTACTGAAAAAGGACTATACCATCCTGAGAAGGATGTTGAAGGTAGTTAGTAGGACTAGTGGTGTAAAACTCAGTCAGCTCGTCACTACATTAGTTGAAAGGCATCTGAATACATGCGAAAAATGGTCTAAAACCATACTCTCCGACCACCAACACCCCCTCTATTCCCAACTCTCGCCTTGTATCTCATCAGGTAGAACCAGAAATCAGTATAAAATAATTTGAACTCAACAATACCATATTTGGCCCGTGTTCTAAGTGACAGAGACAATGTTAAGCACGAAACCTATGACTTGCTTTGTTGTTAATAACATAATTTTAGGCTCTTTTATTTCTCTCTTATTTTGTATTCTATAGTGAACACCTTCTTAAACATACTTAGCTACCTAAATTATTAACATTGGCTTACTTTTTTGTACTTTACTGTATTCCTTCTTTTGTGTATCTACTGGTTCCGACTATATTAGCACTATGAGTATTACAAAATTGTCCTGTCATTAACCATCATGTAATTATTAGTTTTTGTGGTTGTTGTTGTTTTTTTGTTCGGCAATATTAACTGACAATCTTGGTTGTGAAAGCCATTATCACCATCTTAAAATTTTGTATTATGCAGGATTACTCACACTACCACTACAAACACTGCATTAGACCTGACAATAAAAAAACAACCCTGAAATGTTATTTTATGATTGTTTAGTGTTGTTTCAACCTAAATTAACTGATCATCTTGGCGATAAACATTCTTAAATATCATTTCATAACTTCTTGTATGACTATAGCTTTACTGTCACCATGCATAATCATATCATAGCTTCCACTACCCAATACTGAGATATTATTTTGTTGTTTATTTTCCTTTCTACTTCTTGGTATATTTTTTCGCATTTTTTAATTATTTTTTTGTTTTTTGTTGTTGTCTTTATATTTATTTTTTTTGAAATACTCCTTTTAAATGTTTGATAAAATTAGATGTAAATATTGTAGATATGTGCTGAAAATTCCACACTGTACCACTAGTACTGTTTCTGGAATAAAGCAAATTATTATTATTATATATACATATTAAAACATACAAGATTCTGAATTCTTTCATCATTATTTGATAAATCAATTTGTTTCTTTACGTTATGATATGCATAAGTTTAGAAATCACTTACCCAAATGCATGAGATACTCGTCGACCAACACCATTCACATGCCAGTCGTCGGCATACAATCCATCTGGACGGGCTGTATACACAACTAGGTATTGTAAATCTCTCCAGGTTAGATTAGGATTTGCTGACAATGTGAGTGCGCAGATACCTGCAGCTAACGGAGCACTAGCTGATGTACCAGAATGATTATCTGTGCATGTATGATTTAAATCTGTTGTAATCTATGTGAAAAATAAAAAGAGGAAGAGAGAAGGACAAGAAGAGGAAATTAGACAGACAGAGTAATCAAATGTGTGTGTGTGTGTGTGTGGTGGGAACTAAGGCGGCGACTACCACTATTACTAAATAATAAAGTTACATTTCAAACTGGTTATTTACATCATGAACCAACCAAGGTCTCATAATATTGATTTTTGTCTTAAACAATTCTACCAGTACTCAAGAGTTATTTCAGTGCACGCTACGAAGATGATTCTAATGGATACTTTGTTAAAGGGGTAACCAACCAAGGGTATTAGTCACGAAATAATTATGGTTAAATATGGAATCTCTTCAATTGTAATTACAATTTTTTTCAACTAATATAAGAAGTTCAAGTATTGGTTTGTAGGGATTTGGTTGATTGGTTACAGGATTTCATCATGAGCTGAAATTGGTTAGAGAACCATTGGAAAACCAGCAGGGAGTACTGGACAGCTGTTTCGTCCTAGTTTGGGACTCTTCATCAGTACGCACCCAGTCACTTAACATCAAGCATCAGTATAAATCTTATTAACAATATAGTGAAGGAAATTTTAGCGTATTTTGGATGAAAATAAATAGTAACCAAGCGACAAAGACATCAACCTTAGAAAAATGCATTGTAACCTTTATTACACCGCCCACCACCTATTAAAAACACGAAAACTACAACATGAATTGGTAAGTTGGATATTTCATACAGGCCGAAAATAAGCACAAACAAAAAGGTTATTTCAAAACATCAAGAAAAGGAATTTAAACTAGTATATGTTAAGCACACATTTTATAAGACCATACAACTAAAAATTCATCGATTCAAGGCAAAAAAACAAAAAGACAGAAAGTAAGGTCAAAGGTCAAATATAAAGAATGCATTATCAGTATTAGAACAGACAGATTTCATATAATGCAATAAGAACAAATGGGAATTAATCAATCTCATGAAAACAGATAGAAATTGAAATCAACCTTTCATACAGACACACTAAATTATTGGTAAAACTCATGAACTGGAAGAAGACAAATCCGAATAAATAGACGACTGAAAGTTGAAATGTCTCGTCTCTTTTGATTGAGTTATTTGTATATCAAAATCACACCTTGACTTCCTTAGACTATTGTCTAGATATCTGACTGGTAAACACTACTGCTTGATAATATGATATCATATCACTAAGTTGTAGCATTCAATGTCAAGTTTTAAATCAGATTTCTATCGATAAATCAACCAACCAACTAACCAGTCACGCGGATCATTTCTCAAATATTATCTCTTTCACCATTTGAGTTAACTATAATCGCTTCTAAAACAAAAACGTCATGAAAAACACCCCATTTTCACTATTTTTTTGGGGGGGGGGGGGCAAGCAAAGTGAAAGTGACATCTTTATAGACGTAGAAAGCTATATATATAAACCAAAAGAAAACTATTACAGCAATATTATTCGTGTTAGAAAAAAAGACATTATAATTCAAACCGATACTTGAATATCAATGAGATGCTCACTAGCGACTGGGCCTATTCAGATAAGCAGTTAACTGGTGTTTTAGTGGGAAGTCGTGACCAGAATGGTCCAGCAGGTCGGGCGTGACGACAAATACTCGCCAGCGATGACATTCGCTAGTGGTCACGCAATATCATGAATCGGCCGAAGTTGGAATTCATGGGCCGGTCATTCGATCAGGTCCCAGTGGCTTAATGGTCTACGAGCTAGCTCGCCTTGTAACCAGAACGTCCTGGGTTCGAACCCTGGTGGTGGACGCGTACTTCTGAAGAGTCACGAGCTAGACTGACGAAAGAACTGTCCAGTACTCCCTGAAGCTTTTCCAACGGTTCAGTAACCGATGTCAGCTCATGATGAAATCCTGTAACATTAGAAATTCATTTCCAATCCTTACCAAAATGCAAGTCATTATGAAAAAGTGAAAAAAAGCTGATGCCGATTAACTTCGATGGATATAGAGGTAGACGTTGCGCATATATATATATAATACGCTGTCCTACTATCTTAGCGTATAAGAAATAAAATTAGTTTTTGATGAGAATACAATTGAAAGATGAGTGAATCGATAAAACCAGTGCAGAGAAAGAAAAGATAAAGAGTATAATAGACGAAGGAAGGGAATATTCTTTTTCTTTTAATTACGGTAAGGAATATAATTAAGGATAGTTAGTTAATAACAAATTAGAATTTAGAATGGATTTAGGAAAATCGAATTCATTATAAACCGATACTTAATTACAACAAGAATATCACAGTCTCTAGCAATGGACTGTTGTTTAAATTTGTAAGAAACTACGGTGTCATAGCGTCTATCGTCTCTCTCAGTCTAAATAAAGTTTCAGTCATCTAAATGAAGCCAATAGGATGAAATTAAAGAGAGGGAAACCTGAAATATAATATTCTAAAGCTCATCAACGAGATGTATGATTAAAGAGAATGACTTTGAGTCATTGTGAGCCATGATGATAAACAGTAATAATAATAAACCCCTTCCTAATACACTAAGGTCGTTAGATTAAGAAAAATCTACCTTATCATAAAAACCTCAAACAAATAGTTAACAGATTCGCAGATTAATACCTTATTTTGGCTTATCTCGTGGTCCATCCGAACCTTATTTGGTTACAGGATTTCATCATGAGCTGACATCAGTTAGAGAACCATTGGAAAACCTGCAGGGAGTACTGGACAGCTCTTTCATCAGTCTAGTTCGTGACTCTTCACAGTACGCACCCACCACAAGGGTTCGAGCCCGGGGCCTTATGGTTACAAGGCGAGCTAGATCGTAGGCCATTAAGCCACTGGGACCCTACCCAATTGAATGGCCCATGAATTCCAACTTCTGCCAATTCTTATTTTACTTATTTTATCCCAATGCATTCTGAATGGAACATAGGGCTTCATGTCTCACCTTTGCAGTTTCAGTAGTAGTAGTGTTTATTTTCTACGGGGAGGGGTTGCTAGCTCTACGTTCAACCTTCCATCTTTATCGGGCTTACTATCGACTAAGCGAGGTTTAGGAGGGTGTCGGGAGGCGATCAAACCACGGAACCACATCAGTGGTTGAACAGTATTCTACCACTGAACCACCTAAGCTATGGCCGTCTAGGCAAAAGTTCCATGAACACGAACAACTATACCGTACGTTTAGGATTTCACTCTGCTAGTTCGTTATCCCCCTACATAAAAGCAGTTTAAGAGAATTAGTAAGTTATGCTGTCTTTTTCGCGGTATTTCAGACAACAATTAACCAGACCTTAACTCCTGAAACCCTTAATATTATTGTTAATATCTGCTTCGATGTACATGTTTTAAAAGTACAGCACAGTGTTATCATTATCATCTTTCGAATTAACATCCGTTTTAAAAACACTAGATCCGAATTTACACGAATATTTCTTGAAAAAAAAAACAACACACAACTGAAATAGAAATAGAATAAATAATAATTTGAAAAAGAAGAGGAAAAACATTAGAGAAAAACATGAAAAATCACTTGAAAATGTAGGAGAGTTGTAAATTATGTTCCTATTGTTAACGAATAAACATGAGCACGAACAAAACAAAAGATTCAAAATTCTATACTAACATTAAAAAGTAAAAGAGTAATTACACAACAAAACAAACAAACAAAAAAACAACAAGAGTATGCAATATGAAATGGAGTAATGCTTTGAACAATTCCGATATTAGTTTTATTAGATAATAAAGAATATGCAATGACTTCTTTTGTCAAGTATTGGTTATGTAGGAATTTTTTTTGATTGGATGGAGGATTTGATCATGAGCTGACATCAGTTAGAGAACCACTGGAAAACCTGGGAGTACTGGACAGCTGTTTCGTCCTAGTTCGGGACTCTTCATCAGTACGCGCCCACCACAAGGGGTTCGAACCCAGGACCTTCTGGTTACAAGGCAATTTCAGTAATTAACAATTAACATAGTGTTTTATTTCTATCCAAAGTGTACACAGGTATGCCACCTTTTTGTATTCCATCTATTTCTTTTAATTTTCCAATATGCTCTGTGACTCAAATGGAATGGGTTGACCATTGAAATACACTTGATAGCGGTCTTATGCATTTTCAGATAGATTAAGAAATCTTCATCTCTGACTTGGTGATGAAGATAATGATGGTGATAAATCATCGGTGAATCGATAATTTCTTAACACAAAAGAAGTCGACATCAGTTAGAGAACCACTGGAAAACCTGAGAGTACTGGACAGCCGTTTCATCCTAGTTCGGGACTCTTCATCAGTACGCGCCCACCACAAGGGGTTCGAACCCAGGACCTTCTGGTTACAAGGCGAGCTCGTAGACCATTGAGCCACTGGGACCCGATCTAATGTTCCTTGAATTCTAACTTCTGCCAATTCACGACATAGCGCGACCATTTCGCAATGACTTCTTCGATGAGTTACTGCCTCATCTTCCACTTGCAAAATGGTCGCGCTATGTCGTGAATTGGCAGAAGTTAGAATTCAAGGACCATTGGATCGGGTTCCAGTGGCTCAATGGTCTACGAGCTTGCCTTGTAACCAGAAGGTCCTGGGTTCGAACCCCTTGTGGTGGGCGCGTACTGATGAAGAGTCCCGAACTAGGATGAAACGGCTGTCCAGTACTCTCAGGTTTTCCAGTGGTTCTCTAACTGATGTCGACTTCTTTTGTGTTAAGAAATTATCGATTCACCGATGATTTATCACCATCATCATCGTCATCACCAAGTCAGAGATGAAGATTTCTTAATCTATCTGAAAATGCATAAGACCGCTATCTAGTGTATTTCAATGGTCAACCCATTCCACTCGAGTCATACAGCATATTGGAAAATTAAAAGAAATAGATGGAATACAAAAAGGTGGCATACCTGTGTACACTTTGGATAGAAATAAAACACTATGTAAATTGTTAATTACCGAAATTACTTTCAATTAAACAGTTTGAAACGTGTATATGTATTAGTTAGAATTTTA